AAAAAAAAAAAAAAAAACAATATCTGTATTAGCAAAAGAAATTCCCTATTGTTTTTTAAATTTTTTAAGAGATGAGGTTCTCACTATGTTGCCCAGGTTGGTCTTGAACTCTTGACCTCAAGTGATCCTCCTGCCTCAGCCTCTGGAATAGCTGGTACTACAGGCACAAGTCAGCATGTCCACCCTCTCTTTAACTTAAGCGACATTTACTATTTTTATATAGTCTCAGAAAAAGAAATGTCTCCGCTAGAAATTGTTTTACTTCCTAAGAAAGTAATATGATAATTAAAGTTCTAAAACGCTAACCGTTAAGATACTTTACGGATCACTGATAGGTAAACAATAGACTGTAGCCCTCAAACTGACCAAGCTCAAAACTGGTTTTCAGAGTCAAATACTAACATTAGAATGGCTTCTGAGTGTACAAATAAAGGTCAAAATTGTAATTCCAACCACACTTGACACTCAGTTACTTTAAATACTACCCAACCTGGCCAAAGTCCAAAATAAGTAATATTTCTGGATACTAAAAAGCCAGCACTGACATAAAACCTAAATTCTGCTGAAAAAGGGTGAATTTTACATGGTCTTAGAACAAAGAAATTTCCAAACAACAAACACTGCAAAAATTTTTCCTTCTGTTCAGAATGACTTTGCTTGGGAATCTCACAACTATCTCAGGGCTATGATGAAGAGCCATACATCTGTGAAAATTCTAGCTGATGCTCAGCACTGGTTTGGGAGGCTTGTGTTATCCACTGAAAAAGACTCTTGAAGAACTTGACTGGGTTGCCCAGGCAATAATAAAAATGCCCAAATCCTGGCCTTGGACGCTTTTCTTCATATTCAATGTTATTTCTATCACCTTTATTTATGTATGATCAAGGATTAAAAAGTCTTAATTCTAATTTATTCTGTGAGGTAAAATCTTCAGATATGGTTAATTTTACTGTTTTTGAATGCTGCTTCCTCTTAAGAATTTCATAATTTTTTCTTCAAAAGAAGAAAAATTTTTTTCATTTCCTAATGCTTGCTTTTCTAAAATTTCTTTTTATGAATTTATCTTTTGTAACCTGTGGCACCCTGAATTACTGAACAGTAATTTCATATCAGCAACCTTTATCTTGCTATTTCTACCTACAATTATAACAGATAAAATTGACCCAGATATGAGAAAACATATTTATGCCACTTTTATATTATACTAGAATTTTAACCTGTTCAACTACTAAATGAACAAATATTCTGTAAGAGAGGACATTCTAGAAAGTGTTCCAACAGTATCTATTGGCTGAAGTTTTATGTTAATAATTGTTGTGATGAAATTAACGGCTCCTAGAATTGATGATACACCTTGGTTTCTTGTCCTGAAGCACATTTTGGCTCTTCAGTATCAATAAAGATTTCTAATTGTTTATATAGTCACAGCTGAAGGCCAACAGGAGATTTTGATTGTTATGTATATGATTTATTACTACTAGTGGCTCCAAAATGCACACAAGATGAATTCTAAACTTTATCTTCAAGTAGCAAATCCAGTCCTTCATAACCCAATCCATGTAAACTCTTCAGTCTAAACTCTCTTGCCATTCTCCCCCACGAATGTTATTAATACATTCCAGTTATACTTGATGTTCCGTGAGTACGATATTTTCTCAACATCTTTGTTCTGACTTCAAATATTACCACATCAGAGGCCTTCTCTAACAGACTTAAGAAAATACTAATACTTCTATTCACATCAATGTGTCTTGCATTATGGTAATTATCACCTTGTACTGTTACTGTTTGGGCTGCCTCTAAAATTTAAATTCCTTGAGCTTTGTATCTTTTTTCTAAAATCCGAACTAAAAAATATTGTGTTTTTAAAGTATTGATGACCTTATTTTTTTTAATGCTTACGACATAATAGGTGCTATAATGAAGGAGTATATAGTAATCTATAATACTACGTTTGGAGGACGTCCAGGATCCAAATCCGGTCCTCCAAATCCAAATTCATCTATTAATATAACAGGTGCTATACTACTTTGGATCTTGGACATCTTCCAAATATAGTATAAATATTATAGACTATTCTTCACTGGCTCTAGCCACAGTTTCCTAAAGTCACTCTCTCACGTTAATAATATATTTTGTTTATTGACTCTTTGAACTATTCTCAAGTTAAAATAAATGATAAAGTTAATGAACTCAACTATTCTCTGCCCTATTCTCTCTAAACATCTCAAAACCATCTTTATTTTCCAGCTTACTTTATAATGTTATACCCATGTATATTTATGTAATTACCTTCTTACATAATTTTCCCATTCTGTACCTTCTCCTATACCTTAGTCTACCCAAACATTTTCCCTCCCTTTTCTAATAACCATCTGAAGTATCTACCTTACATACCTTTTCCAGATTATATGAATCTAAAGTACAGGTAAATACAACAAGCTAATATATTTATAGGAAAAATTAAGAATATTTAACATGATAGAAAAACCTTGTTTTAATTACATGCCAAAATTACAAATATTAATATAAACTATTTTAGAAAGTAGGTTTCTTACAAGGCTAGGACTATTTATACATTATTTTGCTTTATGTGGCATCTAGTTCTGTGCATCAATAGGAAGGAATTTATACATCTGATGATATGTTAGTTGATTTTTGAGCAATGCTTCATTAAATAGTTTTGGGAAAAATTTTGTGGTGGCTCATGCCTATAATCCCATGGGTTTGTGACGCAGGAGGATTGCTTGAAGCCAGGAGTTCAAGACCAGCCTGGGCAACATAGTGAGACCCCATCTCTACAAAAAATTTAAAAATTAGCTATGTGTGGTGAGATGAGCCTATAGTCCTAGCCGCTTGGGAGGTGGAGGCTGAGGCTGAGGTGGGAGGACCACTTGAGCCCAGGCGTTCAAGGCTGCAGTGAACTAAGATAGAGACACCATACTCTAGCCTGGGTGACAAAGGGAGACCCCCTGTCTCTTAAAAAAAAAAAAAAAAAGTCCACTTCATAGCTCTGCTTTATTTTACTAGTAAAGTAAAATGTTGTAAGTTGTTTTAAAACATGAACATCAATAGTCATCCAAATATAAAATATTTTTGTTACATTTCTTTAGAAAACACCTATTGGCAGAACTAGAAGAGTAGGGGTTGGTTAACCTATTAAAGCTTCAGTTAGAAAAAAGAACATCATTTCACGACATCCTTTTTATTTTCTAGCATCTGGGAATACTATCATGTGAGTTATAGAAAACAGGTGGGGAGGCTGGGCGTGGTGGTTCATGTCTGTAATCCTAGCACTCTGGGAGGCCGAGGCAGGAGGACTGCTTGAGCTCAGGAGTTTGAGACCAGCCTGAGCAAGAGTGAGACCCCTTCTCTACTAAATATAAAAAAATTAGCTGGGCATCGTGGCGTGGGCCTATAGTCCCAGCTACTCAGGAGGCTGAGGCAAGAGGATTCCTCCAGCCCGGGAGTTTGAGATTGCAGTGAGTTACCATGATGCCACTGCACTCTACCCAGGGCGACAGATCAAGACTCTGTCTCCAAAAAAAAAAAAAAAATTTAAAAAAAAGAAAAGAAAGAAAATAGGTGGGGATAAGTGGCTCAGATTTTTTAGTCTTTTTTATTCCTCTTACAGATAATATTAACTAACAATGGGTTCTTTAATATCTTGAGGCTTTTCCCTAAACTGCTCATTAAAAAAATGTCCCTGCCGGGCACGGTGGCTCACGCCTGTAATCCTAGCACTCTGGGAGGCCGAGACGGGCGGATCGTTTGAGCTCAGGAGTTCGAGACCAGCCTGAGCAAGAGTGAGATCCCGTCTTTACTAAAAAAATAGAAAGAAATTAATCGGACAACTAAAAATATATAGAAAAAATTAGCTGGGCATGGTGGCGCATGCCTATAGTCCCAGCTACTCGGGAGGCTGAGGCAGTAGGATTGCTTGAGCCCAGGAGTTTGAGGTTGCTGTGAGCTAGGCTGACGCCACGGCACTCACTCTAGCCCGGGCAAAAGAGTGAGACTCTGTCTCAAAAAAAAAAAAAAAAAAAAAGTCCTTAGTTCTGTTCCATTCCCACTATCAATAGCTGTAACCAGCAATAACAACTAAGAAATAACCAGAAGTAATAATCAAATTTATGCTGTAACTACGTTATCTAAATATACATAACACTCACCAACAAAGGGTATTTTTAAAAGCAAATACAGTACATAAAGTCTGTAAATAATTAAGGATCTGTTTCTAACTCAGGATCTGATGACCAAATTAGAACAGCAATGACTGTAAACATCATATTTAATTTAATATTTAATCAACTGTGAATTAAACACCTGCACATTACACAGCATGAAACATTAATGACACACTTTGTTTAAGAATATAGCTCCCCACTCTGGGAGGCCAAGGCAGGCGGATTGTTTGAGCTCAGAAGCTCGAGACCAGCCTGAGCAAGAGCGAGACCCCATCTCTACTAAAAATAGAAAGAAATTAATCAGACAACTAAAAATATATAGAAAAAATTAGCCGGGCATGGTGGCGCATGCCTATAATCCCAGCTACTCGGGAGACTGAGGCAGTAGGATTGCTTGAGCCCAGGAGTTTGAGGTTGCTGTGAGCTAGGCTAATGCCCTGGCACTCACTCTAGCCAGGGCAACACTTTTTCTCAAAAAAAAAAAAAAAAAAAAAAAATATAGCTCCCAAGCAGTCAGCTCTAAAAGCCAACACTCTCTGGGATATATAATCTCTGATATATGTATGTAAAAAATTACTAGTGCTCACATTATTTATTTGTTCACAAACAATCTTTCACAAAGAAGAAAGACAGTTTAAAGCAGCATTGTAATTGCTCATTGGAACAACAGCTGATTAAATGAAAAATCAACATAGTATAATAAGTTTTGAAGTCAAACCAAAGTTGAAGTTGGTCCGAAGGTAGTGAGTTATCTCAACTGATTGCTCACAGTCAGTTACAGATGGAAATCCTTGCCCTACTCCTTCCTCCCTTCTCACTACTGCACTTGACTGGTCTTAAAAAATAAAAAATAAAAATAAAAAAAACAGTTGAATCTCAGTTCTTTGCTCTAGTAGCAATATGACCTAAATTTAGAGTGACCATCCTGGTTTTCCTGGGACTATCCCAGTTGATACATACAGTTCCACTATAATTATTAACAGCACCTTCTTTGACTTTCCCAAGTCCCTAATTCGGAAAATAACTTAACTATCACCCTATCTAAACACCAATCTCCTTACCTGAAAAAAGATATTACGAGAAAACCTACATAAGGTATAAAATCTGACACAAAGTAAGCATTTAATAAATCATAGCTTCTATTATTAATTATAGTCATTGATCAAAGAGCAATATAATAATAACCCAGACTCCTAAAACATTATTCATAAATTCTACCTCACCCCCTCTTTTTTTTCAGAGATAGAGTCTCGGTCTCTCGCCCAGGCTGGAGTATAGTGGCATGATCATAGCTCACTATAACCTTGAACTCCTGGGCTCAAGCAATCCTCCTGCCTCAATGTCCCAAATAGCTGGGACTACTACAAGTGCATACCAACACGCTGGCTAATTTTTAAAAATTTTTTGTAGAGACGGCCTTGCTATGTTGTCTATGTTGCTACGTTGGCCAGGCTGGTCTTGAACTCCCGGCCTCAAGCAATCCCCTGCCTCGACCTCCCAAAGTGCTGAGATTATAGGTGTGAGCCACCACACCCAGCCCTGTCTCTTTTTTTTTTTTTTTTTAATTTCAGAATATTAAGGGAGTACAAATGTTTTAGGTTACATGAACTGTCTTTGTAATGTTTGAGTGCTGCTATAGGTGTGCCTGCCACCCAAATAGTGTTGATAGTACCCATTAGGTTGGTTTCTTTCCCTCCCTCCCCCAGCCCCGTTTCTTTCCACTTAGTTTTACTTCCCTCTGTGCACTTGCATGCTCATCGGTTAGTTCCTATTTAATAGTAAGTACATGTGTTTGTTTTTCCATTCTTGTGATACTTCACTTAGGAGAATGGTCTCCAGTTCCATCCAGACTGTTGCAAAGGTATTAATTCATCTTTTTTTATGTCTGACTACTACTCCATGATGTACATATAACATTACAAAGGAGGCAGGGTTTTTTTTAGTGTTAATCCCCCTTCCCTTCTCCTAAAACATAACACACATGCAAACATAAATCATAAGGATATTCTGGGAGGAGTTTTTAAGGGTACCTCTGAGGAAACGTGAAAAACTTTGGGTCATTAGAAGCCTCAGAATAAGAATAACTAAAAATTAGAAATGATTATAACTATAATATATCCAAATTTTGCAATAGAAAAGGTAATCTCAAGGTAATCTTCAAGATAATCTCCTTAGGAGGTTATACAGTTATTTAAAATTTTCTAACAGAAATTTCAAAACCAATGGTCCATCCTTAAGTCTTTCAGAACTAAAATCCGAAAAAAACATAAAGAGGTTGTTAAAATGAAAATATGAAGAAATATTTTAACTTACTTGAACTGCACAACCCAGTAAAAGTAAAAGCAGCTTTTTAACTTCTTCTGTGCCTTGTTCTGAAATAAAAACAATTACTAAGTATAACTTTTTATTCTATTTCAATTTTTTTTCTTATATTGGAAGAATCACTTCTGGAGGTAATGTTCACAATAATTTGATGTAGTCTATAAGCAAATACAGTGGAGAATTTTAAAAAGCAGCTCTGTGTGTGCAACATGGTAACAGAAGAAGTGGGCAAGGACTACAATTTTGAAGGGCTGCAGGATAGATAAATAGGCTTCAAGGCTCTGTGCAATAAGAATGCTAACTATGAATCCATTTCTTTTCCATAAATGCTTATACTACACCAGCCTATCAAATCAAGAACCTACCAAATTATGTTGATACAGGGGCATGCCACAAAGGCAGCCAAAATGGCTCCTAATAGGTCTGGCTCCTCTTAGGCCTATTAGTGTTTTCTTACTGAAACACAGAGCTTATGATTCCTCTACCTATAAAATTTAAATGGTTTTCCACTGTGTAAGTTCATAAGGATCAGAATCTTAAATGTGTTACCATGAGGTTGTTAAAATAAATGTACATAACAAGCTAGATAGAAGTTAATGATCTGTAACAGAACTGAAGAGAATATTCCCTACCAGTATTCAATTAAGATTTTCTTAAAATATTCAGCTGGCAAAAAAAAAAAAAATTACTTCTTTGGGCCAGATTTTCACCATCAGGCAAGCCTATCTATGATAAAGTCCAAATCTCTTCAGACATTTCCTCCTAGAAACAGCCTACTACTTTCTAGCTATGAGGAGCCACATTAATCACCATTCTTCCCAAATATACATATACACTCCTTTGACTTCACTTCTGGTATTCCCTATGCTTGTCTTTCTTCTCCTATCTCCTCATTCCCTAGAGAACTACTTAATAATCACGATCCTAGGCACAGCTCTAACATCTCTGTGTAGTCTTCCCTGATCCAATCACCAATGGTCCCCAAACTTCACTAATATGCTAATTTTAAGAATAATTGCTCAATAGTTTATATGGCTTAACATTTTGTACATCTGTTTCATACTAATTATTACTAATTAATAATTTCCTAGTAATCTGTGTATCTCTTACCAAACCACGAGATCCTCCAGAACATGGACCATTTCTTTATATTCCTGGTCCCTAACTTGGTAGGTACTTACTAACTACATGTAGAATTGAAAATAATTCCATCTTCCATGCAAAATTTTTTTCATTTTTTTATTTGTATAATCAAACATCCCAGGGTATCTCTAAAGACTATCAAAACTCCTAATTCACCCATTTTAATTATTAGCTTCCTTTATAAAAATAGTTGCTTGATTTTAGTTTCGATTTTGGTTTTATTTTTGTTTGTTTTGACTGAGGGGGTGTGAAGGTTGGAGAAGATATACTTAATTTGGTTAACATGTGGTCTGTAAGGATAAGTTCATTGTTGAAACTATTAGGTAGCTGCTAATTTCCCCAATTGTTTAAAAATTAAAACTCTGAAATATCACACTTAAAATCCAATAAAGGGCAGAAAATTTTGAAGAAAATAATTTAAATGATCAGAAGCAGTTTAGCATAAATTAAAACGTATCAGTAAAAGCTAAGATTCAAACAACTCTGGCAATGGTAGATAGTAGATATATAAATAGAAACCTGAAAATTATTTCAAAATCGTATTTTTTTCTAAGGTTATATTTCTTCAAACTTATAACTATCATCGTCTTCTTTACTTGTTTATAATGAGACACTAAAAATCATCTCAGAGGGTATCAGTTTGGTATAGTAGGAAAAACACTGGACTTAATATAAAATTTATGTGTTTTCACCCACAACTTACAAATATTCTAAGCTTGTTTTCTTTCTATAAAATGGAATATCACTTAAAACTTCTATAGAGTTGTGAAAAACCTAGTGAGTTAATGTAAACAAGCAAGTTCTTGGTAAGCACTATGGTACTGCACAAAGATAAGACATTTTATCACATTATGTTAATTTTAATACTTACCAGAGAAGGGATTTTTGCCAATGATTAAGACATTTGGCAGTGACATCATGATCAATTGCTGCAAAGTCTCCTATAAAAAGATATCCAATAGTTGTTATATGGGTAATGCTGACTCGGTAATTACTCATCAAACTATAACTTATGATTTGTACACTTTTCTGCTGGTATGCTGTACTACGACTAAAAAAAAATGAAGGATACATAAGGTCTTAAATCGTTTCTAACTTTAAATTAATAAATAACTAAAATAATACCAGATAGATTTAAGTTAATATATCAAAAGTCTGCAAAATTAAAGTATCCAACTCAATTGGTCTAACAGTTATCATTTGGAAATCTGAGGTTTTAGGTGCAAGAAAGTTAAGCAACATTACTCAATAAAAGATTGAGCATGCAAATCTTTTTGTTCTTTTTGTTATTTCTCTGAGGGAACTAAAAATGTCAACTGTTATTAAAATTAAGAAAGCTTCCTCAACATGCATGAAGCAAAAAATAAAAATTTAAAAAAGCTACTTTATTAAAAATCCTATCTTATAATCATTTCATGAAAGTGGGTTCTTTCTCACTATCATTATTTCTCTCCTGTACATACCTTTGACTTCTGTTAAACTTTAGTGACAAGAATATATGTACATGCTAACAGCACAAGATCATTCAGAAAGAACTGAATGCTTTCACGTTATTCATTTTAGGTAATAAATCAAGTGTGCAACTTTTGTTTATTCTACCTTTTCCTTGAAGAAATGAAGGAACACATTATGTCTGCCATTACAACCCACTGACACTGATGATATGCAAAGGGTCTGGGATGAATCAGACTACAGCACGGATGGGTGCCATGTGATATTACTGAATCTTTCCAAGATTATAGAAATAACTATGACAGTTTCCTTACAAATTGGCTTTGACTACACGTTCAGATATAACTCATTACCGAGGAATAAGTTTTTGAAAGTATTGAACCCTTTTTGAATCCTTTATTTAACTTAATACTACAATGAGGAAGCAAATAACCATGAAAAATAACTATAAAAAGCTAACTTGTACTGCTTTTTAAAGATGTGTAATCCTGGATCCACTGAAGCATTTGCCCATGGTCAGTGGGTGGCATGACACCAAATGCTAATTAGAAATAACCTTTTATCTATAATTCCTGATAGGTATATATTATAGAGTTTCAAAATAATTTTCCTCAGCATAGTATTTATTAGCCTTTAAAAAAACACTCTTGCCAAAAATATGCATGTATTTAAAGTCCATACTCAATATGTGTATCATGTTAGACAAAAAGAATTAAGAATATTAAGAATATGTGTCAAAATTGCTAAAATCATTTACTCTAAGGAATGATACTGAGTTTGGGTATTTACTAAATTTTCCAGTTAAAAGAAAGTTATTTCAAGAGAGAACTGGATTCTCCTTTGAGAATCCAATATGTAACAGCTAAATGGATTTAAAGGAATAAATTTCTAATTCATTCTAATTTTTAGTTTCCTTGCCTTGAAGCAAAATTATGAGGACTATCATTATACATATTTAAAAGAAATCATAAATAAGAGAGATGTATTAAAAAATAACCACTGTTTTAGGCCGGGCGCAGTGGCTCACACCTGTAATCCTAGCTCTCTGGGAGGCTGAGGTGGGCGAATTGTTTGAGCTCAGGAGTTCGAAACCAGCCTGAGCAAGAGCGAGACCCCGTCTCTACTAAAAATAGAAAGAAATTAATTGGACAACTAAAAATACATAGAAAAAATTAGCCGGGCATGGTGGCGCATGTCTGTAGTTCCAGCTACTCCGGAGGCTGAGGCAGAAGGATTGCTTGAGCCCAGGAGTTTGAGGTTGCTGTGAGCTAAGCTGACACCACGGCACTCTAGCCCAGGCAACACAGTGAGACTCTGTCTCAAAAAAAAAAAAAAAAAAAACCACTGTTTTATCTCTACTTCGTGGGGATAACCTAAGGCAGAACAAAAAAACCTTTCAAATTCACCTTCATAAAAAGCAACTCTCAATTTCTAGGAATAAGCTTTATCTCAATTTAAAAACTTCACAGATAAAAGATAAAACTCATTTGCACCATTTATTTTTGAGTAACATTGAGTCAAAATTGATGGATCAACTAGAAACATCAACTTATATTTCCAAGACAATTAATTTTATTGATTTACCATGTAATATTATGTTGGTACACTGTTGTAAGCAAAACTGTCCAAGTGGATAGTAATCTTCAATGTGATCCAATACCTTTTTCCTGCACCCCCTTCCTCAGCTGGTTCTACCTAATCTGTTTCCCCATGCTCTCTTGTTAACTCAGTTTTCCCATAAAGATGAAAGCAATTTCATACACCCTTTCCCCATACGGTAACATCAACAACCTCATGTGTTAATACAGTTTAACCTTTACACTATGATGTCTGATTATATGTGGATGATGCAAATTGCTAAACTCAAACTTACCTCCATGTCATCTAAAAACTCACTCTAGTATAGTAGATTCTAAATGCCCACTATAGTGTACTCCGGTTCAGTGGAGTCAGAACACCCCAGGCTTAAATTTCAGCTCCATAACTTACTATATGTATGCCTTTTTTGGGGGGAGGGTAGAAGTAAAAACAAGTATAAAATTTTAAAAATGATGATGGCTATTAAACATTAGAGTTAATGGGAAAAATTTACTTTATTATCAAGTATTAATTTTAAGTTATAAATGAAAGTACTAACATTAGGTAACAAGGCAGCTAAAAATTATACAAATCTTCAAAAAGCAAATTATCCTAAAATCTCTATTTAGTTCCCCTATGCGTTCTTCCGAGGATTCTACCTATGTTTTTGTGAAAATTCCTTTTATTTCCCTTTTCCAATCTTACAAGTAATATTTAAAAATATACAAGACATAAAACAGAGCAGAGACTCAAAAACTGACTTCTATTGTTAATGCTTTATTATATCATCCAGACTCCTCAGACTTCACCTAGCTCTACAGATATTCATCATTAAGGTATTAAGGAAATGGAAAAAGAATATATAAAGGAGCCCAAGATAAATACGACTTTATTAAGGAGGAGTAATAAATTAATTGATATGTCAAGTGTGATCACGTATGTACATGAACTAGTAAAGACACTTCAGTTTCTTACGTCATAAGAAATCCATTGTAAAAATGCAGGAGAAAGAAAGAATTTTAGCAATACAACTGAAATACGAAAAAATTTTGAGAAAATTGGGTTATTCATTCTACAAATATTATTGAGGATCTATGATCTGTCAGACATTGTTCTAGTTTAGACATTGGAAATACAGCAGCGAACAAACAATCCTTGCTCTCACTGAATTTATATTTTAGGAGGAGGAGAAAGACAATAAAATTAATAAATGTTTTTTAGTGGTAATTGCTAAGGATAAAAATAAAGCACAAAATGAGAGAGAGTATTGGTGGAGACGGAGATGAAGAGGAGACTGATATTTTTTAAAGATATGCCAAATATTCAAATATAGACAATTTAAGTGTTTTTAAGGTCATTAAAGCAAAGGTTCACAGAATAGGTGGAAATTCTCTTCTGGCCCGAAGACAGTCCAGAAAGATTTGGAGAAGTATAATCATTAGAAAAAGAAAAAAGAAAGAACTAGCAGAAATTATGTTAATAGGAAAATAATAAGCAGAGATGCCCTAAAAAGTATTACAAGGAATTTCACTGCCACTATGTACCTTCGGTTGATTTTGTGTAACTTTTCTATTAAAAAATGGTAATTAGCCATATTGTTTAGATGACCATCTAGAACTCTTTTTATTGATACATAGTCAAGCACTGCAGTAATGACATTACACTCAATGATGAACTGCATATATAACAGTTGTCACAAAAGATTATAATATTTTTACTGTACCTTTTCTATGTTTAAATACGTTTAGATACACAAATACTTACCATTATGTTACACTGCCTATAGTATTCAGTACAGTAACATGCTGTACAGGTTTGTAACCTAGGAGCAACAGGCTATACTATATAGCCTAGGTGTGCGGGAGGCTACATCATCTAGGTTTGTGTAAGTACACTCTTATGATGTTGAAACGATGAAATCACCTACTGATGCGTTTCTCAGAATATATCCTCATCATCAGGCTATGTATGATTACGTTACAAGTTTTTGTGAATTAAAGTTCATGGTGCTAATGCATCATAAGGACTATTTCAACTACAAACCAGATTAAATATTATTTAGTTACTATACAAAGATAATTTAAACTAGGCTCTCCTTCTTCCTATAAATTATCCATAATTCTTTCTTCACAGTAAGAAGCTTAACATTTCTGGCAAAGGTCAGGCTTCATTTCCGTTTCCTGAATCACCACATTGAGCAAAATGCTTCCACTAAACCTATACATTTCTTTAATACTAAATATGGGTTCAAAGAATTCTAAAATACATTGGAATAACAGTCTTTCCTTTGAGTCCCTTATAATCTGTTTTTAAAATTCAGCACATAATTATATTTATCATAATATATGTATTTGCCCCTTATCTGTGTTACTAGTGAAAAGAATTAAGGATACTTTACCATATTTTAACAGACTGTAGAAAAAATTAAATAAATGGCATTAAAATTAAATAAATGACATCTGACCCATGTCAAAAATATGATGGAATATATAAAACATTCGTTGTATAACAAAGAATCTAGTTTTCTTGTCTACTGAATTTTATTAATACTGCAAATGTTGCTTATTATAACAGATGTTAAAGAAAAACCTAAAAAGTAACTGTGCCCTATAGTAACTACATTAACATTACTAGACCTGTTTTTTTGTTTTTACTATTAATGACACCATACAAAAACTTCCTAATAAAGTTTCTTAAGTGTAAAGTGTTCTTTTATTTTGGGGCCTCAAATGACTTAGATCATTATTTTAATGGTGGTTGAAGAACCATTTTTTTCATTAGTACTTATTTAAAATACAGCCAGTGTAGTCATACCAAACACTAGTTATGACAGGATTCTAAAAATGGACTAAGATTTTTTACTTGTAAACTTTGTCTCTGGTATTCAAATTCACTATCGCTCACTCACAGG